AGCTCTCAAGTGCAGAAAACCATTGAATGACACTCCTGTTGTTCTTTCAGGACGCTGATAAGGAAAACTTAGCTCTTACCAACCTTTGATTTTCAATCCTGCCTCCAATACAAGATCATCTTTGCAATTTGGAGTCTGTCTATCTATCTGTAATCCATATCACTGCTTCTAATCGTCTGTGCATGAGCTGTAACAATTCTCAGAATTTTACAACATATATAGTGAGGATTTCTTGCACCATAGTCAGGTCCATATCGTCTAATTCTAGTATGTGGCTGAAGTATGTTGTCCACGGATTCCACAAGTAGAAAGAACTTCCAAGAATTATAAGCAACAAACCGTTGCATGAACCTGCAATCTAGATTTCATCATAGTACTGCAATGCTGCTCGCTCCCATGATACTTTTGGTTCAAGTCTTCGCAGTTTGCAGTACATAAAGTAGAAACGAGGAATTCCTTCACATGGCATCTCATCATATGATTCTTTCGAGTACTAATGACATAAAAACTGCTTTTGCATGTCCAAGATCACGGATAAGGTAGAATTCAGATTGGAAATTATGGAATTTCACAGCTTGGTTATGCACTTGAATCTTATTACTACGAATTATATCATTTGGAATTGAGGCAGTTGTACTAATTCATCGAACTGTCGTAGTTCTATGATCAAAGACTAAGGAAGAAGGTCAAGAATGGCAAAGGCAACAGAGGCTCAAAAACAAATAAAACCGTTTGTGGAAAGCTGGGAAGCATAAATGGTAAATTTGGTTGGACTCATCGTTGTTTAGCTTTCATTAGCTGCAAATCCAACCAAATCCTGCAACCGACTGCTTATAAATTTAGAATTGCAAAAAAAAATCAACAATGACAGATTATCAAATTTAAAAACAAAATTATAGAATATTTTCCACATGAATGGACCAAAATTGCTTACAAATCATCAGGGAACAAAATTTTCTTGAGACATTGCCGACATGTTGTTTGATCACTTCTATGATTACTAATAATTTTAGAACTGAAATTAGCTAAGATCGAACTAGCTCTTCATTCTCCACTAAATTATTATATGATTAGCTAGATTAATGGCACCGGCTATAGAGTTTATTCTTGAATACACGAAACCTATGCACATCTCTGACTAAAATTAAGATTATTTTTCATCTTGTAGGTGACATTACAATAAGGGGGGAGTATTTATGGAATAGTGCCACACTTTTATGCGAAAGTATATGTAATTTGGAAGTTGTTAATTTTAAAGGAGCACCAAATGAAAAATTCTTTGATTTTTCAATGGTCTTCAATACGTTTTTGGTGCTTCAACGTGCACATAAATGGGCAACAAAAAGAAAAGCTCTTGTTTGATTTACTTCTTTATGACCTTTATATATATGTTTATAAGACATAAAACAAAACTCTTTGGAAATCTTGTATATCTTTTATTGAAAGATAAGTATAGTATATAGTCTTTATTTTTTCTTTATATAAAACTTCTTTTGAACTGTAATAGAATAAGAAAGTACGTGGAATATCAACTTTTATATCTTTATTCAAAAGAAAAATATATTTAGTTTAGTATTACAAAAAATATCCCTAGAATTTTTTAAATCCATGTGCTCTAATGCTAGTATTTGAAAATTCACCGATTTAATCCTTGAATGTTTATTCTTTATTTTCTAATTGGCCCTCATTCCAATTCGAGCAAAGTTTTTCTCTCCTCTAGTAAATCATATCGTCCCACATGAGTACCAAGGTATGTATCAAGAACCATGGGAAATGTCCATGACTGAATTGGTGAATTTGAAGTTCATCATTCTTGATGATTTAATCCTTTCATATTTAGCAATTGTCTGCACACATTAGCGAGTGTGAGATTAATTCAACTAGGGATGGGAATGGAAGCAGTTCTGCTTCATTTTCGTTTTCAACCAATAATTAGATGCTGATTCACCCTCCATATCTAAGCATTTTTATTCCCATATTAATAGCCGGGGATTAAATACAAAATTACGTGTATTTAATTAGTAATTATGTTCTGGATGACATATCCTATAGAGTATAATTTTTCCAAAAGACTAGCTCTTTTTTTTTTTCTTTCTAAAGATTTTTTTAATGGAGGCTCCATATACTCGTGTTAGTACACATAATTTATGCCAAGATCACCATGTCAATATATGCACTCAAATTGATTATCTGTCCATTGCAATTAAACCCTTTCCTGATATAGCTTTAATTTTCTTAAAAACTAACACCTTTGAAACATTTTGTACACCCATTAAACAAACCTTTTTTTTAAAAAAAAAAAATTATGGGAATAAAACTTGCTTCAATGCTAGAAGAAAAAAAAAACGAAGGCTTCTACAATAAAGATTAGAGTGTATGTATCCTATATCGACTGCTCCAGCTCATTATGCTTCCCCTCGAGATATGGTGACATCTCCCAGCCAGCCAACCCTAACAGCATTTGCCATGATCATATGGAAACTTTTTCTGATAAAATCAGATATGTATAGCCTTTACAACTTGCAGTTTCTGTTATGCTTAGATTCCACTTTGGTACGGTGGACTATGAAGCTCACAAATTATATACTGTCACTTTTTCCAGGAGATTTTGCCTTTTTTCTCCAATGTCCTAAATTCAGAATCAAATTGGTAGAAGTACGAAAATCCCATCTGGGATTCTCTTCAGTAGATACTAAAAATCATTCTCTTCACATCAAAGCAGTATTTTACTATATTGCCATTCTTGACTATGAAATGGGTAGTTGTTGCTGCATGAAATGAACACAAGAAATCTGTACATGGGAGTGTAAAGTCAATGTATATGAGCACAGATTGAAAAGATCTTATGGGTACATAGCTATACAAATGTAGCTGTGAACTGGGATTTTGTCAATAGAAGTAAATTCAACTGATACGCAATGATTAGATTTGATTATTCTTTGTGTGTATATATGGATATGGATGGCTGTTTTTATCATATCCAAATCAAGCGGGACTGATCGATTGATGTGGTCTTTGCCGCTTGCAGAGGCCCTTTTAGTCACCGGTTTTAATGCATGGCATGCAGATTCAGGAAGACAGGATTGGGTGGCCCTGCGGTGATCTATGCAGACCTTGATAAAATTTTGAAGATTGAAAAAGCGAACAATGAGCTCATCAAGAACTTGGAGACAACAGAGTAACGAAGGATGCTTTGGATGCCTTTTGGAATTGATCAACGACTTGAGAGACAGCAGACTAATTATGGATGCTTGAGATCCTTTTGAAATTGGACTAGCATTCTGAATTTTTAGTTGCCTTAATTTGAAGCGTTAAATACAAAAACCAAACAAAGTTTACTTCGAACTAGTTTTTGAGTTTTGGGATCCCTTTGTGGACTAGGAGAGAATTGGTGTAAACTCGAACGTCCGGTGATCATACTGGATCTGATTAATTTAAAGTCGAGCATTATTAGATTCTTTTCGAAAGATATTTTCAACGTTGTCTTTTTCATCCACAAAACTTTTACTGTAGAAACTTTATTTAAGTAGTATCAAGTTCTTTTTCACTTGACTCAATAATCACTGGTGACTAAGCGGGGATTGACTGCATGCCATTAGAGTAAATATCAAGTTTGCTTCAAAAGAATGTGCACAATCACTACTATTAATTTAACCTAGCTTAATTTTCTTTATGTATAACTGGTTGTTTTCTCATTGCTAATCTCTAATTGTTTCTACCATTTGGCAGTTGGTTACCATCGCCCTATCTTTTATTGTAAACACTTGTTTATTTCTATACCAACAACAAATTTTATCCGTAGACTAAATAAATTGCATCGACATAATTAAGACATTACATATAAGCATGAGCATCTTGCATTGAAAGGCATTTTCTTCCCTAGTAGCTGACACAAGACTTACAAAGAAAATTGTACTACCAAAGCTAAAACCAGGTACTTTATGATAGCATTACCTCTGACCAGACTAGACTATGAATTTCAGAAAAGACTGCCTAGATCATCCTGTCGGATGATATATACATATCTTGAATAAAAATTGCTTGCTAGTTCAATTAGACTGATTTGGGTTCGGGTTCGAATTCTGTCTCCAACAGTAAAGAGGGTGTGAGAAAGAGTGAAAGAATTTTTTTTAAAAAAAGGGCTTATCATTAATTGTGGAATCAAGTATTGGATTAAGAAAATTTGTCACAATCTCCAAGAGTTGTAACATTGCAACTTTCATACAGAGTAACAATTTACTATCAAAGTGGAGTTGTTTAATGCCCTCAATAATATTGAACAATAATACAAACAAAACAAAACAAAAATTGTAACTAATGGCCCTGTTGGGCTGGTGCGCCAGCAGAGATTTTGTAAGACAATTGTAAGTGACTTCTTTGGCAAAATAAGATGGTTAGACTACTATGTATTACAAGGACAGCTAGTTAGTTCTTTTTGCGTTCCTTCACCTTTATTCAAGCGAGAAAGAAATATTTCTGTCTTTGAAAGAAAATTCACGTTCAACGAAAATTTCTACCTTTTAATTTTTGAAAATTCATTGAAATTATTCCTTGCCGGTAACCACTATTTCATAGACATGATCAAGTCCCCCTGTTAAACACTGTAGCTAGGTCAAGTAGGGCATTCGATTTTTACAAGTTTTTAGGGTTTAATGAATCTCAAGAGAGAAAACAAAACCACATTTTTGAACTTTCTTCCCTCTTTTTAGAATGTATGGTCCAAAGTTAAGTCGTCCAAACTTTTTGTTGATGTAGCTGAATGTCCTTAAAATGTAGTCGATGTCTAATGACTTAGTTCAAGGGAATATAATGCGCCTTCTGCTTTGGATTAACATGTGACAAAATGCAGTGTATATAGAGCAAAAGATCATGCTACGATAGCATTACATTACCATTAGGAAACGATAATAAGTATCTTGCATGTTGACATCATACTAAGCAAGCCAAAAAACTTTGTCGCACATTTTCTAGATTTATAGCAGGATCGGAGTAGCCAAAACTTAAGACAACTCTGTCTCAAAAGGGTGGGGATCCACAAAAGCACTATGGTGTCTTGGCGTTCTTGGGCCGCCACCGTGGTGGTGCAAGGGGTCTGGACCCATCGGAGCCTCCCTCAACTCCCAACCAGCACCAACCTTCATCCCTTTGCCACCACTTGCCGATCCAGCCATGCCCCCACTCTTGAAAACCATTTCATGGCCCTTCATCCCTTCAAGCAACTATACACGTGTAAAACCAAAATTACTTGACATTTCAATGCATCAAAATAAACCAAAGAAATGTTTAAAAAAAAAAGAGTACCCTTTAAACTTTTTTTTCCTTTTTTTTTTCTTATAGGGAGATTTTCTGATTTTTCACTTAGTTATTGATGCATTTTGCTGCATATGGAAAACCACCTTTCTGGAATGCACTTCATGCAGAGTTGCTTTGACGTAGAAGCATCCACTGCCCATCTTGCAATCTGCCAAGGCTAAAATACATGTTAAATAATCAATGACCAAACTCAAGTACCAAACTTTATCGATTAATCTCACATCTACAAAGTACAAACACGAAGACTCAAGTACCAGAAGCTTGGAGCTGCATGACAAAGAGGCAGCACAAGGCAGTGATGAAGAGCATGACAGCAGACTTGGAAACAATAGAAAGGAAGGCCATTTTGGTATGGTACTTTTACTAGTGCATGCAAATGCAATCTCTCAGAAAGAAAGTAGAGGAATGGTGAGTGTGTGAAGCTTATGAAGCCAAAAATGGCCAATTTATAGAAGTCTTGGAAGGCTATCAAATGATTGCACGAGCAGCCAATTTTGGAGAGAGATTACACAACAATTTAAGACACTCTAAAACTACAACAATCCATCTGCAAAGTAGTAGTAGACTAGTAGTAACTGAGATACGATACTCATCTCATCATCTTTATTACTGATGACAACTTGTGCAGGTGACCCTTGTCAACGGCCAGCTCATCAAACCAGTATTCCTTGGGGACGGCGCAGCCTTCGACGATGTCACTCGCACATCAGAAAGTTAATTTAGTGTCCTTGCTAGCAAAGCCTTTAGCAGTTGTTAGCAGCCCCCTTGGCAAACTAGTCTACTAGACTAGTATTTTCCACAACTACAAGTCCACAATTAGTAGTACATGCATCCATAGAGTTCTGGCAAATTAGTCTACTAGACAAGTACGTTCCACAACTACAAATCCACAAATTGTACATTCATCAATCAAGTTCTTGCAACTTTACCTAATTTACGTCTATTTAAATGGGTTCAGTACCATATATGCAATATAATGTATTATATGTTGTTGCTCAAAAAAAAAAAAAAAGAAGGTATTAGGTGTTGTTAGTTAAGAGTTTGGCAAAAAGTATCTTTATTACTAGTTTTTACAAACCAAACATTATAAATTAATTTTCATAAATTTAACCTCACATTTTATGTCTCTGTCCCCTCTCTTTTTCAAGCCCTATAGTATCGAAATTAGAATGTATAGGGAGGGAAAGTTATTGTAACAAGTGCATAAATGTAAATGCTTGTTTTGTTTTAGGATGAATTGAGGTCAATATGAATATGAATAAATTAGTGCTTAAATAGTTTGGGTATACTTACATTACATGCTTATTACTCGTTCATAGAAAAGTAAGTCCGACTAAATGCGCATCAAGAAAGGAAAAAAAATAAGTACAAATATAGATATTGCACATAGTTCAGAAAACAAAAACGATATATATGCACACACGCGCACACACACACGCATACATACACCATGCATAAACTATTCAATCTTCCATGCAAATTTTAATTTAGAAAGTAACCTAGTTTGTACTTTTTATAGAAAATAATATAATTTTAAACCGCTTCGAAGAATACGTGATGAGGGTATTTACATTTAATAATTTTCTTGATTGAGGTCCCAAATAATCGTCAAGAATTTTGTGCTAAAATAGTTTAGGTATAATTGCCGGCTTATTATTTACTTGTCAAAAAATAAGTCCAAGTAAATTCCGGATTCAAAAAAAAAAGAAAAAAAAAAAAGACTAATCCATACGTGAAATAAGAGGAACAAAACTAACTCTAAGATATGGCGAATAGCTCAAAAAAAAAAGAAAAATTGATGTAAAACATAAACGATATTGTGTACGTTGTCTGGAATTATAAAAACTGTATCCATGCAAAAATGTAATTGAAATTGCCTGCATTTCTTAGAAATCTGTCTAGTTCCTACTTTCTATAAAACAACATTTTAATTCTAAGGGATAATTTCAGAAACCTCCCCTGAGGTTTCTGACACTTTCACTGACATCCCCTGAGGTTCTCAAAATTTCACTTACCTCCCTTGATAAAAAATTGGGCCCCTTTTCTGACGTCATCAGGGCCAAAATTACAGATATATCCCAAGTAGTTGGGGTTAATTACTACCGTTTAGTTACATAATGGCATCTGATATGATTAATTAAGCTTAACAACAATAATAGAAACTTGATTTATATAATATTTTTAAAACCCTAATACATCTAAATTTGATTTTATTTTTCAAATTTATAAGATTTTTTATAAAAAAATGGGATACGGATAAGATATCCGGTTGGTTCGATTTGCATAGGTGCATATGAGAATATCCGAATACTCCTGAAACCCGCAAGCGGGATTCTGTGTTTTTTCTATTTCAAGGTTAGCTCGCATGCGGGTTAATGTTATATTTGAGCGCGAGAAGAAAAAATTGGTAATTAGGCTCTTTGGGCATTATAAGTAAATATTTAAATTAATGGCAGTTTTATTACACCAATATTATTGTATTATCATTATTATGATTATTGTATTATTTCTTATGCAAATATAACATTTAATTATCCAAGCAGTTTGATTTTATTTTTACAATTTATAAAATTTTTATCACTTATATAATATTTTTAAAACCCTAATACATCTAAATTTGAATCTAATTTTCTACAAGTCATACTTATAAATGCGAAATCTAACAAAAAAGTTAAATACAATTTTTGCAGGTCAAATTTAACAAAATGCGAGCTATTTGCAAAATTTTAAATATTTGCAACATTTTTTAAAACAAAAATTAGAAGCTTTCTGCAAATAATTCCCTACCTCTCAAAAAATAACAAAATAAAAAAGATAAGAGCTCGCATTTGCTTCCTAGAAATAATTCCCTAGCTCTTAAAAAAGGAAAAAAAAAAATTGAGAAGAGCTCGCATTCGTGGAATGCGAGCTCAATAACCAGAGCTCGCATTCCACGAATGCGAGCTCTTGTAAGCTCGCATTTGTGAAATTCACAAATGCGAAGACCACCCTGACGGAAATTAAACCCAAAATCACCCCTTTTGTAGAATTTTTTTTAAAATTCATCACAAAGTTGGAAATTTCTCAATAGAAATACAACTTGTCTGGATTCCTTTCACTCTCTGATATCATTACGGTTGCTTTGCGATTACAGCGGCAAACCTGTTTTTAATGGAGAAAGATGTAGGTGAATTCCATGATTCTCCCCTATGGCTTGAAGAGGCCATGGTTGCAGCTAAAACTTTTTACTCAGAGCTCTAATTGTAGCACAGCAAATGCACTTGTTATCACTCCAAATTAGTAGCAAGAATGTTAATAGCTTGAAACCTCAGAGGTAGTTAAGTTGCTTTGCTTTATATGCTATTGCTACTGAAACAGCAAACCTTCTGGCCGTTGCAATTTGCAGCTAGCCGTTGCAAAATCTGCCAAATAACTGTTGCATGGCACATCTGGTGCATGCAAATTTTGTATTGCCACTTACCCCCCACTTTACTAATTAGTCCAAATCATTTATTCTTCTTTGAATCTTCTACTAATACAACTTCTGCAAAGGGTAGCTATGGAATAAAAATACCTTCTCACACATGAAAATAATATTTTAATCTGATTTGGACTGGATTGTTACCACAAAATCAAAAGCAAGGGAGGTAAGTGAAATTTGAGAACCTCAGGGGATGTCAGTGAAAGTGTCAGAAACCTCAGGGGAGGTTTCTGAAATTATCCCTAATTCTAATTCATCTAGAGTTAAAGACTCAAAATAGATAGCAATTCTGCTCCAAATCCATGCAAAATCTCAGCGATGACACATGCGGCTCTTTTTGTTTTCCCCTTTACATCTTTCTCCTCTGTCACTCGACAAATGTCTTCTGCACCATGGCTGAGTTGTAGCCCAACTGGTGCAGATTGTACGAATAAAAGTCTTTATAGAACTAGCAGTTACCGTTACTATAAAGTACTAAAATCTCAGTATATTCTTGAATCAGTACGGTGATACTTTGGGTAGTGACCTTTATTCTGGGACTATACCTTTTATGGTGTGGAATGACGACCATGCCCTTCTGATGAACGTGCTTCTTGAATCTTGATGATGCTGATTCTTGACAGCAGGATATAATACACAGAGATGCAGAGCAGCTAGCTAGCTTTAGACTATAGATAGAGTTAGCTATCTACTTGAGGAGATTCGATTTATATCATGATGCCTATTTGCAGTTACATGCACAGAGACACTAAAAAGAAATTTTGAGGTTAGTACAGCTGAGATTTGCAATGTGATAGTGGTCAAGAAGATGGTCGACAGCGTGCAGTCATCACTCATCAGTGATCAAAAAATGATGTCATTGGAAAAAAAATTTCTTTTCTTCAAAAATTATTTCTACCCATGTTATTTTCTTTGTTTGATTTCGGATTCTTTTTGATAAAATAGAAGTTAATATTATTAATAAACTAGTTACAAACCAGCCAACACAATTTACTTGACAAAGATCGTTGCATTAATGGCAGATAATACATAAAACATGACACGGTTTTAGCTGATATGAAAAATCATTAGATTTAACAGAATTACAAAATAAAAAAGATTACACTGTAAATTACAAATCATCATCAATTGCACGAACTGCTCTATAAATATCTATACATGTCTATTTCTTTAGATTTATTATCCAACCGATTCAAGTTCAAAGCTAATGTTGAAATCTGACGAAAAGATCCAAAAATTCCAAAATTAACATATAAACCAGAAAAAACTCATAGAAAAAAAAATGATTTTTTTACAATTCATCTCTCTGATCTACTTTTGATTTGCAGATTACCTGTCAAAATTTAGTACCTTATGCTATCTAAGTGTAGCACTTTTAGTAGACGAAATTTGTTAATCACTGTTGAATGAAACAACCATACATAATACCATTATGCCTTGGAGCAATCTTTTGAAGTCCAGTAGCTCTTGGCTCCCCGATCTACAACGATTACCTATTTAGGTTCAAGAAAATGTAGAATAAAGATTTGTAATCAAAGTCATGTAAGTAATCAATGTACCACCTCATCATGCAGATGGTGTTGATCCAAATGGCAGACTTGGGAAACTACTGGTAAATCATGTATAGCTTGTGGTATGTATTAGGACAATTAATCATCAAATAATGGCAGTTGATCATTCTTTGTTTAGTGGGTATAAATAAAAAGAATGACCAACCAAAAGAATTGGCAGATTGTGATTGGAAATAATGCACCAGGTGATATTGTCACATGGTATACCTATATTTTTCTCATAGAATCCATTAAAAGTGGAATTGAGTTGATTAGTACAAAAGCATTTGCCTCATTAGGCTTTTGGATTGATGGTTCAATACCATTTAAGCTATTTTTACATACACCAACATGTCGGCAGATTATGACTTTCACAATCATAATAATAATGTAATATGGCTAAGAATATGTGAAAACTGATATCTCTAAAGAAATGGATCAATGATCATAACTCAGGAGTTGGAGTTATGCACGTTTGGATGAACAAATGAATTTTGATGCAG